TTTGTATCAGTAAATTGGACGTTTGATTATTATACTATTATTTTTATCCGTTACCTGCAGCTATTTTTCAGTTAACTGAATGACATAACTTATTTTCGTGTGACATTTAAACGAAAATAGAAATATTCTCTGTATTGTATTTAAATGAAGCAGAGAATTTATTAAAAACACTTCTACACAATAATACATAAATTGATTTGTCAACTAGGCAATTTCGAAAATAATTACCTGGTACAGATAATTTCTATGTTTAACAGTTAATAAGATTTTAAAAATGCATGTTTTACTTACTATCAATTTGTGAATAAGGATTGCTTAATTCCCAAATTTAGACTTAATAATTGCAAGGCTACAATAATTGAACTATATCGCAAGTTTTTTGATTGGTGCATTGGCATATACCAGACATATACCAGATGTTTTTAAGTCTAAATTGAAATAACTTAATTTCAATAACATTGCCTTCATATAAAATTCCAATGCAATTTAGATACTGCTTATCCTTAGAAATTTCGGCATGCGTCTTGCGTCAAATAATCAAGTAATCTGCTAACCTTTCCTCGAAGCATATGAAAAAAATATATTTATGAGCATGGACTCATAACTCAAGTTTTTCTACATATTCATTGATGAAACAAGAATAGCAGCAGTCTCGTTTAAAGTCATCTTTTTGTAAGTTCTATGGTGGATTCAATGACCTTGTCAGCAAAAAAAAAATTATCATTGAGTCAAATGCTGACTGACGTTTTTCATACCAATTGTTAGTCCATTTTTATACACTGAAATGACGACGGATTTTCCCTTTATTTCACAAATATGACAATGGGCACATGGCAAGTGTGACCGGTCAACCAGGGGATGCTCACTCCTCCATGGCACCTGATCCCACCTCTAATGTTTCGGAGGTCCTTGTTTGCCCTGCTCTTATTTTGTATTGTTTTATGGACTTTGAGATTGAATACTGTTAGTTATCTCCATATCCGTCATACAATGTATGAACCTCGCTAAATGAACAGTTATTTTTTCATCACATTGGCACCAGCTTTAACAAGCTTTCCATTGCCTTTTGAAACATTTAAATAATCTATTTAAAAAGTCAATTGAAGTCATTTGTTTGGATTCCTATACACAAGAAGTCAGTTGCCTGGTGCAGTGGTAAGATTAATTGATTGATTGGTTGTATGTTGTTTAACGTCCCTCTCGAGAATTTTTCATTCACATGGAGACGCCACCACTTGCCGGTTGAGAGCTGCAAATATTGTTCTATGCTCGGCACTCAGTGCCTTTGAGAAGTGAGGGATCTTTTTCGTGCCAGCACCTACTGCGACACGGGGCCTCGGTTTAAACGGTCTCACCCGAAAGACCAGTCTCCATGTCCCGCAGTAGGATTCGAACCCGTGACGTAAGGATCGACTCCTTACTTCGCGATTCTAGAGCAGACGCTCTAACCACTGGGCCAAGCGGGTAAGAATATCTTGTCTCGAGCTACATTAATGTTGAGGTATCCGCAAGGAATATAAAATTCGATTTCAGCGCTCTATCTCTAGTTTGTAAAATGAGTGAAATAAAGCTTTCCCAATTTTATGTTTGATGGTTTATTTCAAAACGATGTGTTGTGCTTCAATAGAGTAGTGCACACTATACAAATGAGATATAATTCCACTACAATTGCAAATACAATACAAAAGCTAATGTTTCTATTATAGCACGATAAGAAAGCTTTATATTTGGAGAGTCCATGTATATATATATATATATATATTAAAATTCAAAAAATACAAATAAGATACAGTGATTGAAACAATCTTTACCCTTCCACTTTCAATTTTTATTAAGTCTTTCTAAAAAATCAAATTAAAGTGTAACAATAATGAGTTAAAACATGGAAACAAAATGATTGATTATTGGCTTGATGATTTATTGTTTTTTAATGTTAAAAATAGTCTAGTTTGAATTTGCTAAAAGGCTTAAACAAGCAATTACACATAAAATCAATGTACTGAAAGTTCTGTAAGATGGAGGCTTCATGAATGAGAGAACACGAAAGAAATATATTTGTCATACATTGCTGTAAAGAATATTATGAGGAATAATGTGTATTTTTTCAATTCAACATTTTTAAAAAGGATACTTCAATATTCATGAGGTTGTTGGGATTTTATAATTTCATCTTTGTAATGTAAACTTCACCTTGAACAAAGTTCACTGTTATTTAGATCAAATACTTTCAATATTAAACCCTTCAACGTCAAAACAGCAATTGACTAGGCCTGGTTGACATAAAACTTAGATGGGCTTACCTTTTATCTCAGTCTCACTTAAGGAATATATAGTGGAAAAGTGAGACTGAGATCAAAAGTGAGCTTTTCTAACTTTTATGCCCCCAAGCCAAAATTTCTGAATTCAGCACTGGGTTTTCAGCCAGTCAGGAGTTTCCATTTTTCAAGATATCTTATTTATGTCACAGAGACGTATACACAAATACTGTAAACATAATTATGAAATGTAACAGCTACCAAAATCAAAATTTCTCGGCCTTATTGTAATAATATTATAATATGAGCCAACATGGGAAAAGAAGCAACCAGATAATTGGACATGAAAAACATAATAGAGTACATTTTGTCTTAAACCTTTGTAATACAAAATTGGGTAACCTAGCTTGAAAGCATTACAGAATTCTTTTTAAGTAATACAACTTCATTAACATGCAATAAATGTTCGTGCCAGAATACATTTTTTTGAGTTGAATAAATATTATGCTTTCTTACTTTATGGAAAGGACAGTAAAGTATTACATACAATAACAAATATATATCTCGACAAAGGACAAGATAGGGTAAGACCAGTATTTGGCACCCGATTTTGGGTGTCTTTCAGAATGATCCAACAGTTTATCCATGAAAACCTGTTTTTACCCCTGTCACAAAAGGAGTACTGGTTTTAAGATTAAGAATATACAGAGATTGCAGTGAGGTCAGGAAATAGGTCAATTTTCGAAATTTCTTATTTTTATGCAAATTTTCACTAATTTTACAGCACATTTTCTTTCGGAAAACATAGGGCACACGCTTGCCTATCTACCAAATTTATATATTTTATAAACTGATATCAGATGAAGTATATGTGTAAAAATCTCAGATAGGCAAGCGTGTGCTCTATGTTTTCCGAAGAGAAATGTACCCAAAATTTGATGAACATTCACCAGAATTGAGGAAATTCGTGAAAATGTCCTATTTCTGAACCCTCTAGTGGCTTCCATGTAGTCTTTGAATCGAAATTTGTGCTTGTCTTAAAGTAAGCATCATTTTAACTTCTTAACTACAAACTATCAGTTTTATCAGTGTTCTGATTTTTATTTAAAAAATTCGGCTGTTACCCTATCTTGCCCTATCTGCGTCTCCACACTCAGTTTGATACAAGCGAATTATTGGTGAAGTTTTTACAATTTAATATGAAACTAAAGTTTAAACTTATCTGTAACTAGAGATAGGTTATCCTTTAATAAAAGAAGCAAACTCCTTCTAAATCCGCCACTTCATTTCTTCACGTTCTTTTTTTGGTGTGAGAATCGGTGGGAAAAGGCTCGACATATTGTAAGACGCGCTTAATTATCATCTGTTGGAACAAAATCTCCTTTTATTCTGTCTGATAAAAAAATAACGGTAAATCAGATTTTTTTTTTACATATTCCGTAGGAAATGTTTTCATATACACGTAATTTTAAATATATTCGACAAATCCTGTTTAATTTTAAAAAGTAGAAATGGTTGTTTATACTTGTATGTGACACGATCATTGCTTTAGACTATGCTTATCCTGGCGTCCAGAATACTAGTGAAACTCAGAGTCGCTCTAAAAATAGAATTCCCAAGATAATGAAAACAATTCCACTGATAGATGGTGCTTGGTGAATTCTTATTATTTACGTCATGGGCAAGACAATCACAATACACGGAGGCTGTTGATACGACACACACGAGCATGTTATTAAAAAGGATCCAAACTTGTCGCTAATTCCAAATCAGATGTACAGAATAGTAGCATTTGTTTCATGATTTTGTGATTTTGAAAATCGTTTCTTGATCTTTACCACAAGAATTTATTTGGGACTGATAGTAGTACCGCTTGCATTTAACGTGTAGTTTGAAATTTGTACTCGAGGAACAATTTTCGTTGTAGATCAAATCAGTCACTTTAGTGTGTCTTCTAACTCTTTCAGCTTTTCTTTTCCTACGCTGTGCTTCAGACAGATCAGACAGTCTTAATGAAATTGATTTACTTAGACAAATTATGCATCATTTCATTCCATAAAAATATTAATAAGAACTACAAACGAAAATGTTAAAGACATGATGAATGAAACAAATGGAGATATCTATAAAAGCGCAAACTGTTCATAACACTACATATTCACTGGATTTGAGGCCGTATTCACCGGAGGGTCATTGCATGTGCAGCTGTATTGTGACGTAATAAGTAATACTTTAAACAACGTTGTGAACAATAGGTACAACGGCCACAGCGACTTATGTATTTGAGCAGGAAAAATATCAAACAAACCTTTTTCAGGATTATTTTGAAACATTTGAAAGTCTTACATAGCGAAACTCGGAAAAGAAAACACGAAAGTTACAAACTGTAATCTTGGCATTTTGTTTTTCAACGACGGAAGTTCGTAAATAAAAGTGGTGTCAACAATCAATCTTTAATGACTTTTTTTATTCAAAGTCGGACTATATAATAAAACGAAGCGTTGCTTCGGTCAATATGAATATATTTCTGGTGAATGATAAACCATATTCAACAACAAAAGAGTCCATAATTGTACATCATTCAAAATAGTTTTTTTATTATAATCCTTTTTATTTATTTCTGAAAAGAGTTTGATATTTTATTTTTTTTTAGATTCAACAGTGTCTGATCTATTGGAAGTGAACATTTCCTGAACTCTAATTCTTGGATTTCTTATCATTCTTAGGAACTTTATCAGTCGCTGATTCCCCGGGACCAGATTTTCCACGAGATGTACTGTTTACCTTGCTATTACTTTTTACAATACCCCCTTCAGTATTTTGTGACGGAGCATCAGCCAAAACCTTTCCACTAGTTGTACTCTTTATCGAACTTTTACTTCTTACAGGGCCACCTTCAACATTTGGGGACAGAGCAACAACCGATTTTTCACGAGATGTACTGTTTACCTTGCTATTAATTTTTACAGTACCTCCTTCAGTATTTTGTGTCGGAGCATCAGCCGAAACCTTTCCATGAGTTGCACTGTTTATCCAACTATTACTTCTTACTTGACCACCTTCAATATTTGGGGAGAGAGTATCAGCCGATGACTTTTTAAGAGTTGTACTATCTATCATGCTCTTACTTCTAACGGGACCACCTTTAATATCTTTGGACATTGCATCAGTCTCTGACCTTCCATAAGTTTTACTGCTGATCGAGGTATTACTTTTAATAATACCACCTTCACTACTTGGGGACGGAGCACCAGCCGGTGAACTTCCATGACTTCCACTGTTAAGCGAGCTAACACTGCTAAAAGTGTCCTCCATAGTGAATTTGGGAGATTGGGGATGGGGAGAGGACGATACGCTTATATCACCTAGATTACCTGTTGATTCCCTATCGTATTTATCACAATTCTGTAACTTTTGATTCTGACACGTGCATATAAAATAGTTACCAGTTGAAAAATCATATCCATTATATTTTTCTTTTAAACACTGGGAAAAAAGTCTGCTTTTCCACTTTTTCTTATAATGTAAAAACATTCGTCCCATAATATTTTTCTTGCGCAAAGTTTTGATTTATTTACTCTCTCTAGGAACGAATAATCAATCACTCGTTCCTGATATAGATTGTCAATAACTTTTTTAAGGTCGACCCTTGATTTGATTTTGCAGTGAACACATTTGGGTTTACACCCAGTTTTTCCATTTCTGTATTTTTCATATCCCAAAAGCAAGATATTGGCTAGATCCTCTCGTTTTTCCTGTTTCAATGCCTCTATAGAACCCATAAACTTCGTATTATCATTTCTAGATAGTATAAGTAGCAGACATCGCACACGTTCGGATCTGTTTGAAAACGACATGATTTCTTCGCTGTCAGATTGATAAATAGCTTCGTTCTCGACGAGTAGGTCTAACATATTGTCTTGAAGTGTTATATTGTCCATCAAAAGCTTATGTTCGTCTTTTAGAACTTCAACGTGGAAATCTAAAATTATCAGTATTCAAGTTCAAAAAGTTTAATATTTATAATATAATTGTTTTATTTCAGATTTGAATTCCTCGACGTACTTATTTCATTATTATTTACAAAAAGATAAATATACATTTCTTTTCAATTTTTATCTAAATATATATGAATATGGAAATTACAGTATACTTAAAAGTTTTTAATTTATTGTAACTAGTTTCTTTTGAATAATACTGATGTGTCAGAGAATAAATCATATCGTAGTGATTTAGAAAGCTCAACATACCACTATCCTCCTCATTGGAAGTCGCTGGTCTTGATGTGTATCTTTCTTTAACTCTTGTCGTTTTCTTCGGATTTGTCTTTTTGTCCTTATCCGAAGCATTATCCGGTGTCCGAGGAATTTGACTACAGAGATATTGTATGGTGGAGGACATGTTGTCAAGTTTCTCTTCCATTAAAGGTAGTTTTTCAAATATTTTATCAACTTTTGATGTCAGGTTTTTTAATATGTCCAAAATCTGTTAAAAAATATAGTTCATCAAACAAGTTAGTTTCATCGGTTATTTATGTAACGACATATATTTGCATTTCTGTTAATTTCATAATTTTACATAGATTTTATTAAGCATTTAATTTTACAAAGTCTATCAATGCATTTCATGCACTCAATAACAAAGACTATAAAATAGTTTCTTTCTCATCGCATATTGTTTATTTAAGAATAATTTGCTAAACTAGAACCTTACGCATTTTAAGTACTTTTATTTTAATATGTAAAACCCTTATATTTAATAAAGTTTAAATGACAGATCCTTTATCACGACCACCAAAAAGATTAATTGATTGGTAACAGACATTTTTGCGACCGAATCCCGGTAAATGCATTAAAATAGAAGCTTCAGGTGTCACTGATTAATTTCAGTTTTGATGTTTTTTTTAAATTTCATTTCGATGACTTACTATAAAATTTATAGGCTAATTGTTGTCACGGCTCAAAATACATTTAACTCATGCCAGACTCTGCTACCTGGCATAAGATAAGAGCAATGACGCGATCTCTAACTATAGAATGTATAAACTAATTTTGTACCCGACTCAGAATACATTTGGCATTATTCTTAGACCTAATTCATTGGTACTATGGTTACTGCTGAACTTAATAACAAAATGTCTTTTACAAAATAGACTAGGTTTGGAATTTATCGCATTGCTAATAAAGCATCCAACATACATTGAATTTAATTATATTTGTGTGAAATGCTTTATTCAGTCATGATATAATAAAAATTTATTGAACGAGCCTCCAAGCATGACGGTGTATAAAGTTTACATTTCATTTTCCTCGGTTTACTTCATAATTTGACAATGGAAAACTTTAACGACATCATTTTCAATTTAAAATGCTGAAATCATTGAAGATTATATACCAAGACTGTTCCATCCTCACATCTAATATTGGTGTCGTTTTACATGATTAATCGTTTATGCTCCAAAAACTGTCTAAACACCTTATAATATTAACATAATTTTTGCAATTTGCTGTACATTTAATACATTTTGATGATAATGAGAAGATAGATAATAATAGCGGCTTTATCAAATAAAAAAATATCAAGACCTTATTTCTGAATATACCAACATCATCAGCTTAAAAATTTACGGCTATTCACCTTTATGCACAACCATTCCCAACGAAAATTAAAGTCCAGGCTTTTTAAATAACATTGACAGCTGCTTTTTCAATAAAAATGGAAATAGTAAAATTATTTTGTTAAAAGACATTCTGATTGCACACACAAGTACTCTGAAGTTGACATCAAAGAGATCCTTAGAGTTTCTCATTGACAAAACATGTATCTATGTAGTTTTTGGACACCAGATATTCCAATAATTTTTTGAAATTCTCATGGGTACCAATTGTGCTCCGTTATTAGCAGACCTATTTTGAAATTTATATCAATTCATATTGATTGTTTTACCTTTCAAAATTTGTTCCTATACAAATCTATACAGAAAAAGTCTAATATTTTTAATGTTTTGCTGAGCGGGCATAAAAAATCGATGTTGGATTGCTGAGTGAGATGTTGGACCGCTCGGAGAGATGTTGGATCGCTTACGTCACAGAATGGGCGGAGCTTAATTTCATTTTCATTCTCTGGTTTTAAAACAGTGACAGATTTAATGTAACATTACGGAATATAGTACAAAATACATGTATGTCAAAAAATATATAATAAAGTGAAAGGTACCTGGTATATTAAAACATTTAGTTACAGAGTTCTCGGGTAAAATGACCTCAGGCAGACAGTTTGGTTCTTGGGTCCGACAAAACGCATGTTGCCCTCGAACTCAGTCAATAAATGTATACTGTTAACTAATGCAAAAATAGATATCACAGAAATGTCTGAGGATATCATATAAAGGGGTTTATGGCGGATATGACCAGTCGACATGGGAACTTTCTCTACAATGGTCCTTGATCCCAACTCTGATGTTTTGATTGGTTTGCGGTTGCTCTGCCCGTCCTCATTTTGTATCAGTGAAATGGACGTTTGATTATTATACTATTATTTTTATCCGTTACCTGCAGCTAATTTTCAGTAAACTGAATGACATAATTTATTCTCGTGCGACATTTAAAAGAAATTGAAATATTCTCTGCCAGTACATTGTATTTAAATGAAGCAGAGAATTTATTCAAAACTCTTCTACACAATAATACTACTAGTACATAAATTCATTTGTCAGTTAGACAATTTCAAAAATAATTACCTGGTATAGTACCTACAGATAGTTTCTATATTTAACAGTTAATTAGATTCAAAAAACGCATGTTTAGGATTGCTAAATAACCAAATGTTGACTTTATTATTGCAAGGCTACAATTGAACTATATCGCAGGTTTTGTAATTAGTGCATTGACATATACCATACGTTTTAAGTCTAAATTGAAATAATTTAATTTCAAGTACATTATTTTCATTTAAAACCCCAATGCAATTTAGATATCGCTAATACTTAGAAATTGTGGCTTGCGTCTTGTGTCAAATAATCAAATAATCTGCCTACCTTTACTCGAAGCATATGAAAAAAATATAAAGGAGCATGGAAACATATCTTAAGTTTGCTCTACATATACATTGATGAAACAAGAACATAAGCAGTCTCGTTTAAAGTCATCATTTTGTAAGTTCTATGGTCGATTCAATGACCTTGTCAGCAAATACAATTTATCATTGAGTCAAATGCTGACTGACATTTTTCATACCAATTGTAAGTCCATTATTTATACACTTTGACGACGGATTTTCCCTTTATTTCACAATTATGACAATGGGCACACGGCAGGTGTGACCGGTCAGCAGGGGATGCTCACTCCTCCATGTCACCTGATCCCACCTCTGATGTTTTGGAGGTCCGTGTTTGCTCTGCTCTTATTTTGTATTGTTTTATGGACTTTGAGATTGAATACTGTTCGTAATCTCTATATCCTTCATACAATGTATGAACTCCGGTAAATGAAAAGTTAAGTTTTCATCAAAGAATAAGATAGGACAAGTAATGTCGCATGGCCCCCAAATTTCTCAGAAAATAGATTACTTGTATATAAAAAGACACCCCAGTCTTTTGAAAGATGGAAACACCTACTTTTTATAAAACATATTAGATTTCTTCTCATTCATCCATAAAATGAATTTTAGAGGACTTTGTTTCTGCACAATCACGAAAAATAGTAAGAATATGCAGTATTTTCAGCATTCTTACGCTCTAAAAACTATGAGCGACTAAGAGTACCACTAAGATATTTTGTTATTTGAGAGCAATACATAAGTACTTACTCTGTATAAAAAATCTTCGTGGTACTCTTAGTCGCTCATATTTAAATATTTAAAAAATCAAGAAAAAAAATCGTGTAAATTGTATAAAACTCGATTGATAATGATCAACCTGCTTTTTTCCGGATTAACAATGTGACGGGTATGTTATGTTATATACAAGCTGCTCCTTATCAAACGGTAGTTATTTGTAATTTTTTCGCAAGATACATAATTTACACAAGTTTTTCAAACCATCAATCGTCTCGGATAAGGAAAAAGTTGTTTAGAATTAATAAACTCACCGGTTATATTTCAAGTCAAAATAGCTCAGTAGTGCGACACTGCTGACAGGACATGCCATAGAAATTTCGACTGGATTGCCACTTTTCTGATAGGATCAGTCATGTTTTGGTGAAAAATCAAATGAATATTTTCCTGCATGCAATGCTACTAAACGAAATAATCCATGATACTATTTCCACTTGAAGTACAGTAAAACTCGTTTAGTACGAACACGGATATTGCGAATTTACGGATATAGCGAAGTCATCTAAGATCCCCAGCTATATAAATTTAATGAATTTCTTATACGGTTATAACGAATTACGGATATAGCGAAGTAATTTCATAGGTCCCAGCGACTTCGTTATAACCGAGTTTTGCTGTATATTTCACGAAATTACGATGAGTACGAAGCGTCTGCTGTACGACGCCATTTTTATTTTGAGTGGGAGCGGATCAAATCCACCACACGCACCTGCTTTGAATAAATCCTCAATAGGTTATTTTTAACGATTTGTTTCTGCTTCAAAATTATAAGGACAACTTTTAAAACTTAACATAACAAGGTGAATTTGTATTTTTCATTTTATTACTATTAAAAAAAATATTTATTAATGGCAGGGACATATATGATATATGTTTATTCACCAATCAAGGGCCCACGGGGGGCATGAACAATTATTACAAAATGATAACATTGATTACAATTCTATATTAAGGATAATGTATGTCTCTGTTAATGCACAGGAGCTCGCGTACCTATCAATTACACCCAAATTTTCATTAAATAAAAAAAATACGTAATACCTATAATAATATTATTATTATAGGTATTACGTATCTTTTTAGTTTACCAAAAATTTCGGCAAAATTGATAGATACGCGAACTCCTGTGGTTAATGGAAATATGAGATTAAAAAAAAAAGAAACACAAGTTCTGGATGACGAGAGTACAAAGACATCCTAGATTCATCCTTGCAGAAACAATGTTCCTGTTCTCACAGCTAGGAGTTTCGAGATTGTAACTTTTTGTTCGAATTTCCTTACATCTGTCAATACCCAATATTCGAAATTAAAAAGTGAATCTATACAGCCAAAGATCAATTCTTAAAAGTATAAAAGGAATCTTGCAAACAATAAAAAACAATAAACACATGTATGAACACCCAGAAATGGTGAATTCAATATTTTCGACGCTATTGTTGATCAGAAGGTAGGCAATATTCCTATCGTGGCACGGTACATTGTATATGTTCACACGACGGATAGGCCTATCTACATGTATGAATAGAATATTTTAATTTTTTTTTATTTTGATATTTTGTTATTTTGAAACAAGTTTAATTAAAAAAATATATGTTTACTTTGTAGTTTTACTCTGTGTTCTTTTCTTAAATTTGTCGTTTTTTTTTAA